TGATGCTCACGATTTCGTATATTATTATCGCCTCTCATTTCTTTTATAAACTACAAATGTTGTACGTTTCCGTGGATTTAGAAGTGTAAGTCTCTTTCCTTATTAAAATCTATGATTTTGAAAGTAATAAAATGGATAATTAAATTGATAAATCACCGTTGGCTTGCCTGACGGCGGTGTTAAGCGCCATCACGAACTATAGTGGATTTTGGGTCGTGACACGTAATTAAATTTAGAATTGCATTGAAATTTCTTTGAGGTTTTTATTATGTTTGGCCTTTATTTTATCTTCTTTTATAAGCTCCGATATTTTGTGTGATATTTTTTCAAACAAAATAAGGGCATAAATATCAATTTGCTGTACTTGGCTGTGAGCTTTCGCTTTCTAATTCAGGACTGATGGGATTTTTTGGCTAAACACACAAACATATTATCCTAGCTGTGGCCGACTTTAGATAGCCACTTTGCCTTTGGCACTTTCTATTTCTCTTTTTTTCTTTTCTACTTCTTACATATGTTTTCTTTTAATCATCGGAGTATCTTCAAATTTGTATCGCATATTGCCTATTAGGAGAATTTCTCCCTGCTAGATACTTTCTATTCTCAAGACCACAATCCAAAACAGTTACTCCCTCCGTTTCAATTTAGATGACACATTTTCCCTATTAATTTATTTAATAAAGAATGACACATTTCTATATTTGAAAATAATTCAACTTTAAACTTTTTATTTTTTCCATTTTACTCTTAATGAAAAACTTTTATAACCAAACAAATATTATAGTCTGACAAAGCTTTTAATACCACAAATTTCAAAAAGTCCCTATTTTCTCTTAAACTTCGTGTCAAGTCAAACTATTTCATCTAAATTAAAACAAAGGGAGTACTGGTTAATAGTGGAGGGAATCCATCCACTTATAAGAGAGAGCACCTAAATATCTCACTTTATCCTTCTAACTAATGACTTTCTCAACGTAAGTCATTAAGGTGACTATGCTATTATGATACCCCATGCGAATTTACATCGACAAAACACAAAAGAAATGTTTGGTATATAAATAAACAAGTTTTAGACTTTGACGCGTTTTAAAGTCGTGCAGATCTAAGTTCAAAATGGACAATATTACTAATAAAATAGGCCGTTACACCTATCAATATGGACTTGTGAAAGTTTTGTTAAGAAGGGAGGCTTGATGAACCATAATAAATAAATGACTATTAAAATACTATTTCATTGTTGGTGCTATTATTACTTATTAGAATACCAATAGCTAGTCAATTGATATTAATTAAAGTTGCAATGTTAGGTTGAACTGTAAGAATATATGTCCATTGTCACGTTAGCAACAAAAAAAAACAGTATTTCATTGTTGGTGCGGTGAGAAAACAAGTAACATTTCCGTAGGGGCGAGCGTAGAAAGGATGTGAATTTTGTACGAGAAAAATATTTAGTCGCATTTGATGTTTATATACTAAAAATACATATCTCATAGCAATTTAATTTGATAAACACTAAATGTGAATAAGTTTTCACAATCAGCCCCTTTTGACTTTCAACAACCAGTTATTATTAAGGTAAGATATATTGAATTTATTATCATGTATAAAACACATGCATATTCTTGAGACACTTTTATCCAATAAAATTGAATGGTCGTCGTTAGTCAGTAGTCCATATACATCTTTCATTCCTTTTTCTTTTCAGCTTTACCTTTAAATTGAACCAAATACGAACAAAAGAAAAAGTAAGTGGGGACTATATAATTCTGTAGACCCCCAAGATTTAATCAATGAAGCAGAACATGTATCTTTCAATCACAATTTTTATCATTTAATCATGTTAATTGAAATGTATTAGTATTATGTTTACTTTTTAATTTTATTTTTAATTACTAAAATTAAAATGTTTGACTTGATATAAACGTCGAATGCAGGCAAATATTGTGAAAATTCAGATTCCTCGTTGAAAATTTTAAGTTACTTAATCTACTTCTATTTTTTTCATATTTCCGGTTTTACCTTGTATAAAACTTTCTCAAAATACTAAGAAAAGAATTAAAAACTGAATACCAAGTGAATTAAAGTAGATGGCAAAGCTAAAATACTATATAAACAATTTCTATGACTTAATGATACTGAAAAATTGAAATATTCAAGAATAAATGGAACAAACTTTTTTATATTGTTCATGTAGTCACAAACTTACCAAGGAGATCTTTGTTTAATCCAAAAACTAATTTTAGAATAAACAATAGAATTTATATTTTTAAGACCTCTAGCAATAAGATCAGTCCAAAGTGCGTACAATAAAGTAAGTAACAGTGAATATGAACAAGTCAAACTAACAATCAAGATAAATGGGATCTTATTGATCGCAGGCATAGGGTATACCTGGATCGGGTTGGTTCGGTTTAAAACCAAATCAAACCAACTATATCAGTTAGGATTGGTTCGGTTTTGTCGGATTTTTCGTATTTTTTTTTTATATAAATATTATTTTAATCTTACCTTCTTAAATTTTTTATAAGTAAATATATATTTAGTAAAAATTAAAAAATATATGATTTATTAAAATATTACTATTATAGAAGAATTTTCTTAGTAAGACATGACAATTATTCTTCCATAGTCTGACAATAATTTTACGTTGATGTATTCTTTCAAAGTTAATCAAATTTAATAATTAAACATAAAAATAAATATGAACATATATAATGATATGTTCTATTTAATTTTAAATTATCAAAATACCATTTCAAATTCGAAAAAATATAAGAATTTAATAGATCTTGACATGTGAATATGGAAGAACAAAGAGATTGACGCATTTCACTAATACTTGATAAAAAAGTGATCATACGACCAATTATTTAAAGTTAATAAATATGGAGCACTTCATATTTAACTAAATATCACATCCATCAAGAGAATCGCAAATATTTCTAGACATATTTTAAAGAACATTCGATAAAGTCTTAAAAGTATATATAAAAATTATATATTTATATATCGGTTTGGTTCAGATTTTTTTACTCAATACCAAACCAAATCAAACTAAACCTAATCGAGTTTTTTAATCTATTTGATTTGACTTTTCGATTTGGCGTGATTTTCCGGTTCAGTTTGTATACCCTTATCTCTTAAACTGCTTATAGGGTGAAAGAAATCCATCCACTCATGACTATCGAAACACTATTTCATTGTTGGTGCTATTATTATAATACCAATAGCTAGTCAATTGATATTAATTAAAGTTGCAATCTTAGGTTGAAATGCAAGAGTATTTGTCCATTGTCACGTTAGCAACAAAAATTATCCAGTATTTCATTGTTGGTGCGATAAGGAAACAAGTAACATTTCCGTAGAAAGGAGGTGAATTTTGTATTAGAAAAATATTTATCCGCATATGATATTTATATATAAAAATTACATATCTCGCAGTAATTTAATTTAATGTAAACAAAAAACAATCAGCTCTTTTGGCTTTCAACAACCATATTATTAAGGTAAGATAAAAATTGAATTATCAATAAATAAAGCACTTGCATATTCTTGAGACACTTTTATCCAACAAAATTGAATGGGTGTTAGTCGGTAGTTCATATACATCTTTCATTCCTTTTTCTTTTCAGCTTTCACTTTCAATTGAAACAAGTACCAACGAAAAAAAAAGTAAGTGGGGACTATATAACTTTTACCATTTAATCATATGATTAATTGAAATATATTACTATGTACCTTTAATTATTTGACTTGATATACACATCAAATGCAAACAAATATTTACCGTACACAGTTACACACTCTCCAAACGTTAGTTGGAAATTCAGATTCCTCGTTGAAAATTTTAAGTTACTTAATCTACTTATATTTTTCATATTTCCAGTTTTACCTTTTAAAAGTTTCTCAAAATACTAAGAAAAATGAATACCAAGTGAATTGAACGATTTTTATGATTTAAAGGGAAACTTGGCAAAATAGTCAATGCGCTACAGTCTTGATTCTTGACTAAACAATAAATGCCAGTATGCCACTAAGTTATAGATTCATGAAAAATAAATCCTCCCTCTTAATTTTTAATTGTTCACAACTTCTGATTCCCTTTAAGAATAAATAAATAAAGTATGTATTTTACAATTTTACTCATAATAATAATATTATTTTAAAAATTCTTAAGAAATAATTTGGGAAATTATTAATTAATGATAAGGATAAAATATGAAGAAGAAAAAATTGTCTTTCTCTTGATTTACTAAAATAGACAAGTAAAAATAAAAATATATTTTTAGTATATTGAGCAAGCAAAAGTGATCCGTTTACAAAATCGACAAATCTCGAAGTCGAAATTCAATTGATGCGACTCAAATCTCAATGTTCTAGAAAATAGTTTTGCATCGGATCGGCCGATTAGTAATGGCAACCGTAGTTCTCTAACATATGTTTTCGGATTCTTTTTAACTTATGTAGATCTTATTTGTTACGTAAAGAATATAATACACATATAATACATAAATTATGCATATATTATTTTCACTGACTATTTTAGTTTAAGCGATTGGTGGACGGCTATTTGGGTTAATTTTTCAAGAATATAATCTATACGGTTTACTCGTTATCTGTCTTTTAAAAATTTTAAAAATCCCTTAAGAAAGATATCTCTCAATTAATAGCTAACCTCAAATATTTTGAAACAATTTCAGTTTATTAGAACGGCTAATATATGGAATCGGAGGAGTAAATAACCTAAATATGATGTGAGCTCATGATTAGTAGGAAAATCTTCCATTTCCTTTTGCTCATCCTGAGCTAAACAAAAACAAATGCATAAATAAAAGTAAGGAAAAAAATTACTTTTCTACTAATTAGAACATCGTGAATAGTAGGAACATGTTGTTTGATGTTTAAAAGATTAATGATATTAGACTACCTTTTCATAATCTTTAATCCACTACAACTCTCCTCCTTTATCCAAATTTAAAACTGGCTATGCAAAGCTCAAATAGATGAAGTTAAACATATAAAAAATAAATGAATGAACAAATTGATCAAAAATCTCTTAGCTGTTCAGCAAGCAGAGACCTAAACATTACAACTTTCTTTTCCTATGTTTCTATAAATATATTGTTTGCAACAATTGGTTAAGTTACAAATATTTGGGCAAAATTTTGCTGCAGACAGCATTTCCCAGGAACATATCAGATGTCATTTCAGAGCTTTCAAAATCTTACTGAATGTTCAGTTGCTTACAAAATATTCTTTGGCATGGGAAATGACTTCAGCCCTATTTCTTTCGATACAGGGGCACGAGAATACCTCCACGATTTATGCAACTTCAAATTGATAGCAGGAACCTTACGGGCGATAGCTTGCCAGATCATTTGAACTGCATCATTGTCCTTGGAAGGATATCGATACTCAAACAAATTTTCGATCTCTTTTAACCTCGCCCACATTCCAGTCCACTCTTCTTTTGTGATGTTCCTAATGAAGTTTATGAGGAAATTTTCTTTGAGAGCATCTGATGTACTGACGAATATGCAGAACTCTGAATAGTCAAGAATATCTTCATAGGGAAGCTCGATTTCATCACTAATGATGACTGGTACACAGTGACTTGCAATAGCATCAAAGAGACGGTTTGATGAGGGCGTGTCACCTGCGATGTTAAGACAGAATTTGGAAGAGTGCATGCCTTGAGTTGCTTGTTTTACACCATTTTTCAGAATACTACCAAAGGAGAAGTGAACATCTTTCTCATCTTTCAGCATATAGAATAACTCTTGTCGAATAGTCCCACCCTGAGGATGAAAAATAAGACTTAGAAACTAGAGCACAATGAAAGAAAGGAACTACAAACAGGAAAAAGAGTAACCAAATAGGGTAGAGTCTTGATAATCTTGCTCAAGTTCAAGATACAAATTCCTTTCACAAAGAAAATGGGGATTTAGAGAGAAAAGTCTTGAGGATCTCAGACTCTATGTATCACAACGATAATCTATCTTGGCAATTAAATGAACCAAAACTTTGGTTCGGGCATCCACAATTGCATAGACATCAGATAGGTCTTCGTGCAAGTAGTAAAAGAGAAATCAGGGTAACCTTCTTTGAATTAATCCAGATTCTAGAACTTGCAACATGATGATATCAAATTAACTAGATTCAATGCTCAATCCATTAGCGCGGAGCGACACTTAGCGTAGAATACATGCCAAAAGTTTGTTAATATTAATTCAAACGACTGAGGAATATAACAACAACAACAACAACAAACCCAGTGAGTTCCCACAAGTGGGGTCTGGGGAGGGTAGTGTGTACGCAGACCTTACCCCTACCTTGGAAGGCAGAGAGGCTATTTCTGATAGACCATCGGCTAAAGACTATACCAAATATAGAAACACTCTACTTGGAAGAATAAATGCTAGCAAAAAGTTCAAACTTTGCTGTTTTGCTTTATTTCGATAAAAAGTGTTTTAGACTGCAGCCAACAACCACAGGAAAAAAAAGAAATAGTGAAAGCAAAACAAAAAACTTGATCCTGATGACAAGCAATCAGTTTCAGTTGGTTCGCTACGTATCGTGTTGCTTATGTCCTCCCCATGTAACAACCAGAGCCTTCTCTGTGATATTTTAGTTTTGGAACTTGGAGTTGTAATTTCATTAACTTTCTTTTTTCCTTTCAAGTTACAAGAACCAAATAAACAATTGCAGGCTGTCTCTAAAGTGATCATGCCCCCATCGGACAACAGATATTCAAAAACCCAAGCTATCAGTTGCCACTAAATTATTATAATCTGCCTAATCATTCCCCTACATTTGTTTGCTGATTGCTATAATGTCAAAGTATGCAATTTCATAAGTCGCTAATATGGACATGGACGGGAAAGAACTCTATTTATAAGCACAACACAACGAGTCTGACAAATGAAGTGTCTGACCTTTAGAATGCATAAACTAAAGAGCATCTTTATCCAGCAAGATACATTTGCGAAATCAAAAGATAAAGTAATTCTTGTACATTTGTACTAACCATATTAATTCTTGTACCTCCTATAAAACTTTTGCAGGTCCGAGATGCTGAATCTCAATATAATTCTTCAAATTCTAACCTGAAAAGGCTATGCTGCTCATTCTATCACATATCATCAAGTTCTAAATCTAAAGTACATCTCTACTTTTAACCCAATCTATCACAAATCATCTTGCTTCACATCATCCAATTTAGCATTCAACTCCAACCCTACATTGATCCAACTCCTCCCTCCCCGTCGAAATAAATGCACAACATATAACAGATGAAATTACTTAACTATTATTATTACCAGTTAAATCAGAGAGCAATAGTTAACAGAAGAGTAAATGCAAAAAAAAACGACTTACATCTTTTCTGTAGATAGCTCCCTGGAAGTAGAGCAAAGTTGGTCGCCTATCAAAACCAGAAGTGTCATTGCCATAGTTCCTGATGACATGCTTGTAAGGTGCAATCACGTCCTTCTCAACATTAGCTATTGTGGGAGGATACCTTCCAAAGTCTGAAAGTACAAAAATTGCAGGCCAAAGCTTCATTCTTGCATCCAAAAGACTATTCGGATGGTGTGCCACAATGATATGATCTTTTCCTCCCGATCTTTTCCATTCCTCTTGAGCTGTCACAAAGGAAACCAACTTTTCCTGTAACAACGCGTTCGTGCTAGTTTTCTGCCCTGGCTTAAGCTTTGAAAACCGATTATAGCTAATCGATGAAAAGAAAGGAACAAATACCACATCAGCTTCACTTGAATTATGCACTCTTATGGCACTTCGACCGTCCAAATTGTCAGCAAATTCAGAAGACAAAAGATCCAAAGTCAACCAATATTCAATACTATGCTGCAAGTTTAGTCCACCGGGATATTCAGGAATCGTGTTCCTGATATCAGGCCAAACACTCTTCTCCTCAGCTTTCCATCCCAATAGTTCAAAATGAAATTGTGGGGGCAGGTTATACATAAAAACTTTGAGCACTTGTTTACTAGGATTGCACTTAAACAAATTGTACTTTTTCAATGTTCCTTTTTTAGAATACTCATCAATTTGAGCACTGGATTGTGAATAACCTTCTTCGGACAAAGCAAGAATCTTGGACTTTGGTATTATATTAAGGTAAAATAAGTGTCTCCGGCCAGTTGAACGCAACACAAATAACAAAGATAACATGAACATAATAGAAGTAATTGAAAACATACTGAATAAGGATTTTCTTCCGAAAAATCCCATAGAATGTACATTTCTCTCTGCCATTGCAATTCTATTTAAGTGAGTAAAAACTAATACTATATGTTATTAAGCTACCATTTTTGCAAATTAGACCATCAAAAATTACATCATATGATACAGCCAAGAACAATTTAATCATTCATTCTACACAAAACTAAATGAAATTCCTCATTCAGCTCACACCAAAAATCATGTCTTTGTCCTTTTCCTAGGCATTTTTCACACCATCAATACAAAAAAAAGAAGGAATATTTTGAAACAAATGGAGACACCTTCTATTAACCAATGTATGAATAAAATGTTAGACCCTTTTATTGAAAAAACAAAAAGGGTTGGCGGAAACCACTAGAAAGAACAAGAAAAATGGGTTCTTGGATACCAGTAAGAGAAATTTGTCAATAGAGATGAATGTGGAGATGAGAAATGAGCAATAAGGCAAGATTTTTGAAACCCAGATCAAGAAATTGAAAAACCAGATCAGAATCACACGTGAATTTGATTCCAATATATTGAATAAGTTATGAAACTGAAGAAGAAATGGAATAAAAGGACAAAGAGGAGGATAGAGTAGTTGCACCAAATACAAAGGGTTACTTTCAATGAACAATTCCCGTTTCTTTTGTCTTCAGGTAAAAAAATGGAAAAGAAAACAAAAAGATACTCAAAAAGCAGCGAGGGAATAGCCGAATGGGGAATCTTCTCTGAAGAAGCGGGCTCATCGGTGTTTGCTGACAACTCAGGTACTTTAAGTATTTACTGCTTTTGTAATTACTCTTTTTCTTTTTTCTTTTTTCTTTTTATCGAACCGTTGTTTGGTACCTACTCGATTCGTTTCAATTCATGAGCTAGTTTGACTCGCCCCGCAATTTAAGAAAATTTTTTGGAATCATGAAATTTGTAGATTATAAAAACTTTTTATTAAGGGTAAAATTAGTAAAATAAAGAGTTTAAAGTTAAATTATTTACAATTGTAGAAATGTGTCATTCTTTTTTAAACAGACTAATAAGTAAAGTGTGTCATCTAAATTGAAACAGATAGAGTATCACTTTTGGACCTGGATTTGCGAGGTCTACTTATCTCTTCCAGTTTTATTTTATGTAAATTTATTTGATTAGGCATGAATTTTAAGGTTAAATGGAGACTCTTGAACAAAGACTGAGCTAGAATTTAATGTTTATGATTTTAAAATTTACCATTAAACTCACGATTCGTTTTAATTATTATATTTGTAATTAAATATTTATACATGCTACTGGATTCATCTGAATTTGTCCCTAATACTCTAACTCTGCCCTATTTTTGAAACTTGTGATCTTGTATATGATGTAACATTTGTTTGATTATAAGATTTTTAGAATATATGAGGTTTTAAACATACCATAATCAGGGGCAGATGCAACATAGAGTTACCGGGTTCAACTGAACCCAACACTTTCGGTACGAAATAAAGTCTATGATGTTTTATACTTCAATGCCACACAAGAGGGGGAATAATTTGTGTGGTGTCCAATTTTTTGCGTGCGCGGATTATAGAAGGACTTGGTTCTTCTATGTGTTTCTTATACTACTGTTGCGAAAATAGTAAATGCGGAAAGTAAAGAACACAAGTATTTTTACGTGGAAAACACCCGGCTCAAAAGGTGAAAAAACCATGACCTACTACTCAGTAGGATTTTTTCCAACACTTCACTAAATCACTGAGCCAAAACAACATTTACAAGATGCTTTGTAAACCTAAGAATTACCTCTAATCTCGTTGTGGCAACCGGCCTCATACTGTGACGACAACTTCAAGTTAACTCTAACTTGAATATAATACTTAGAGTACCTAATACAATTGCTTCTAGATAAAACTGAGAGGTACAACTTGAAACACCTACTACAATGAAACTAGAATAAAAGACAGACACTTGGAACTGGTTCTTCTATCTGGTTCATGTAGCTTCAGGTTCACACACTTGAATCACACAAGAATTGCTTGCAAAAAACCTTGCTATTTGTAACGACCCGGCCAGTCGTTTCGAGAGTTATAGCCCCATTTTTCCCATTTCTATTTCTTTTTGTGTTATTCAGCTATATTGTGTTATATTGGGTTAGTTGGTTCGGGACCGGAGTGGTTTCAGAGTGAAACGAGACACTTAGTCTCATAATTGAAAATTTTAATTTAGAAAAGTGGACCAGATATGGATCTATGTGTAAACGACGTAGGATTTGAATTCTGATGGTTCCGTTAGCTCCGTTAGGTGATTTTGGACTTAGGAGTGCATCCGGAATATGATTTGGAGGTTCGTGATAGATTTAGACTTGAATTGGCGAAATTGGAAATTTGGCGATTTCGGTTGGCAGTGGAAACATTTGATATCGGGGTCGAAATAGAATTTTGGAAGTTGGAGTAGGTTCGTAGTGTCATTTGTGATGCGTGTGCAAAATTTAAGGTCATTCGGACGTGGTTTGGTTGGTTTCGGCATCGGTTGCCGAATTTAGAAATTTAAAAGTTCTTAGGCTTGAATCCGAGGGTAATTTGGTGTTTTGATATTGTTTTGAGTGATTCGAAGGTTCGACTAAATCGGTATGTTGATATATGACTTGTTAGTATTTTTGGTCGAGGTCCCAATGGGCTCGGGTGAGTTTCAGATAGTTAACGGGTTGGATTTTGGACTTGGAACTCTGCTGGAATTTTTCTGATGCACCATCTGGTTTCCTTCATCGCGTTCGCGAGTGGAGCCTCACGTTCATGAAGAGGAACTGAGAGGCTGGCAATATTTTCTCTTCGGGTTCGTGAAGAGAAGCACGCATTCGCGAATGGTGGACTGGGTGTACATCGCGAACGTGAGAGGTGTTATGCGTTCGCGAAGAAGAGAGGAAGCAGCTGAGGACCCCAGGCAATTGGTCTACGCGTTCACGTAGGGTATGTCACGTTCGCGTAGTGAGGGGGAACGAAGCATCGCGTTCGCGATGGGTTGAACGCGTGATCGAAGAAGGCATTGAGGCAGAGGCATTTTTGTGCTTCGCGAACGCGAGGGTGATGACGCATTCGCGAAGGAGGAATTTGGACGGGAGATATTTTGTGCTTCACGAACGTGAGGCACTGACCGCGTTCGCGAAGAAGAAAAGCCCGGGCAGTGAGTTTAAGTTCTGAAATCAATTTTTGACGATTTGGAGCTCGGATTTGAGGCGATTTTGGGTGATTTTCAGAGGAAATAACGGGGTAAGTGTTCTTAACTCAATATTGGTTAAATTACCTGAATCCATGGTTATTTTTATCATTTAATTGGTAAATTGAGTTGGAAAAATTTGAAAACTCCCTTGGTTTAAATTGAAGATTTGAGGGACCAAATGATGTCGGATTTTGATGAATTTGGTATAGTTAGACTCGTGAGTGAATGAGCTTTCTAGTTTTGTAAATTTTATCGGATTTCAAGACGTGGGCCCGGGGGCCGAATTTGAGCCAATTTCGGGTTTTGGTCTAATTTGATAATTTTTCTTATAGAATTTATTCCATTAGCATATATTGATGGTATTGTACTGATTGTGAATAGATTCAGAGCATTTGAAGACCGAGTCCAGAGACGAGGGCATCTCGGAGTAGAATTTTTACGTTGTTAAGGTAAGTAACAGTTTTAACTCTGGCTTTGAGTGTCTAAACCCGGAGATTTGACATCATGTGATTGTTTGGAAGTGATACCCACGCTAAGTGACGAGCGTGTGGCTATGCACCACGAGGGATTGAGACTTGGTCCGTCCCGTGAGGGCTAATGGCTATTATCTGTGGTTATGTGTTTATTTGTTGTTGAACTTGTTTGCCTTCATGTTAGAGATCATGCTTAGACTTTATTCATGCTCACATTATTTGTACTCCGTCATAGAAATTATTGTACATGTTTACCTTAGTCTCTATTATTTGCTAATATGCGGTGATACTTGATGTGGGCTGCGTTCCCTTATTTGTTGGTGATGATGAGGCTAGTGAGGTACATGATTGAGTGAGGCCGAGGGCCTGGATGTGAGGATATTAATACCATAGCGTGTGAGTTCTCCGCGTAGCACGTGAGTTGTCCGTGCTTAGCGCTTGGGCTTTGGGAGCCCCTCCGGAGTCTGTACACACCCCTAGTGAGCGCAGAGTGTTGAGTGTTTTGAGTATTGAGTGCTGAGTGCGAGTGATGAGTGATGGAGTGACACTGCTGTGAGGTTGTATTTATTTGTGTTGTTGCTGCATGTATCTGTTAAACTTCTTTGTGGCATTTACTGAGTTATGGAATTTACCTGTTTATTCTGTTTATTTTTAAATTGTGAAAATAAATAATTGGACTGTTTTACTTAGCTCGTCACTATTGCTCAGTTCATTAGATATTTCTGTTACTTGCTGAGGTGGTTGTACTCATGCTACACCCTGTACTTTATGTGCAGATTCAGGTGAGTTAGAGCGCGACGATCGTTTAGTTCAGGCCGGCTATCTGTGGAGATTGCAAGGTAGTTGCTAGCGTCCGTAGGACTTTGTTACTCCTTTTATCATTTCTTCTTTTGGATTGTATTGACAGTTAGACAGTTTCATTTCTTAGTTCATAGATTTAGACGCTCATGACTTAGTGACACCCCGATATTTGGGGCTCGTTTCCGTATTTTTCATAATTATATTTAGAGTTGATTTAGTTTATGAATTTTTTTTAAATGTTATATTAAATTCTTATAATCGATTTAGTAGTAAAATTTTGGAAAATAGGCTTGCCTTGTAACACAATAGGTGCCATCACGACCATGGTTAGATTTTGGGTCGTGGCAAGTTGGTATCAGAGTTTAGGTTACATAGGTCTCACGAGTTATGAGCGGGTTTAGTAGAGACTTGCGGATCTGTACGGAGACGTCTCTACTTATCTTCGAGAGGCTGTAGAACCTTTAGGAAAATTTCACATTCTTGGATTCTTATCGTG